TCTTAAGCAGAACCCGAATAAAAAGGAAAGCTTTAATGATGGAAATTTGGGTGAGTTTGAGTTATTTTTTTTTTTTTTTTTTTGCCATTAGTCTCTCACGGAGCTTCAGGATTCCACAGAACTTTGTTTAAAAAGCTCCACACTAAACTGTGCTGGGTGGTAAAAACTTTTGTGACTGTTAAGAGCCTCAGGAGGACCCCTTAACATTGGGTGAAGTGTAAACACTTGGTAAATGCAGTTCCACTGAAGTAATTGTAAAGGGATGCCATTTTGGGGCACCACACCCCCACTTTACCCCGAGTTGTCTGTAATCAACCAGAAAAGGGTTCTTGGAGTCATGATGGAAAATCAGTTAAGATGCTGACTAAGAGTGTGGTAGGTGTGAAAAAAACACATTCCTCAGAAAGTCCCAATGACCAAAGGAGAGTTTATCCATTTGCCTCCCAAGGAAGGAGGGCTGGAGGAATCCATTCTTTAAGAAAGAGTCCGACTGGACCTTTCCCCTCGAGGCTCTTTCTTCTCTGACCGTCTCGTGGCACCAGCTGCAGTGGCCTCTGGGCATCACCTAGGCAGAGAGGGTAGGTTGGTGACTGAGTCTGGCTTAGAAGCTGAGCAGAATTGCTTCATCCTGGGATGGGAGACTACCAGGAAATCCAGGGGTGTAGTCAACAGTGAGATGCTAATCCCCCTCCATTCTGGGAGAAGGTGATGAAAAGCCACCCATGTTGTCTTCCCAAGGAAAGAATCTGGATGAGTCTATGAAAGCCCCAAAGTCAAGCACAATGAATGGATGCTTTATGTTCTCTCTGGTTTTAACATCTGTTGTCTCCTCCAATATATTTAGCTCCAAGGATAGCCAAGTAGTGACAAGGATGGGGTCTTCTCTGATAGTTACTGCCTGAAATGTCCCCCCTAAAGAGACACTTTATAGCCAGATGCTGGGAGGCTAGTGGGCTTCCTTGAGCAGTTGGATGTTCTTATGGTCTTACGGATCCTGGAAAGTTGAAATAAGAGCCCCTTTTCACATTGGCAGGTTGATAATTTAGTTCTGTGTTTTTAAATGTCCCCACTGATCTTTATTTTCACCTTTTATCTCTTTCTTCCACTGCCGTTCAGTGAGGTATTCCTAACTAGGTGTCAACACCTAGCTGATTTTGGCTGGTCTCCAGAAAAGCCAAACAGGGTCAGTTGTGGTTAGTATCTGGACCATCAGGAAATCACCAGTTGTAGGCTAGACTGGGAAGTTGAAAAAACATCCTGGAAGGTGGCAACAGCAAACCACCTCTGTACTGTCAGCAAGAAAACTATCCAAATATCAGACCTCTTTCTCTTCTCATCACTGATCACCTGTCCTTTCTCCCCTTCAGAGAGTTTGCATAAGAGTAACCCAGAGTCCACCGATTCAGGCCAGAATAACACCAAGGACTCTCTCCTGCAAGAGGAGTCTCACCTCTGAAAACAATGCTGGTGAAGAAAACCAGCGGGACAGCCTCAGATGTTAGTGGAGCTCTTAAATTAATCCCGTTTACATTCTCTCCCTTACAACCTCTTATGGTCCAGAAGAGATGGGAAGCGCTTTCTGGTTGGATTCCCCAGCCCCGCTCATTCAGTGCGAGGAGACAGCCCTGGTTGCCATTTGATATGGACAACCAGTGGGCCATCTAGAACTTCTGATCAGAAGACCTAGAAGAGGATCCAGCTTCAGGCCAGAAAACCAAACTCCCCCAGTACTGCCGGTGGGGGACTAATGGCTGCTTAACCGATTCCTTTGCCTGGGAACTGACGCCATGGTTGCAGGGGTAGAGCAGGATCCCTGTAGTCTGAAGAATTCTCCGGATGTGAAGGAGAATCCCTGAAATCAACCCAGATGCTCTCTGGACAGCCGTTTCTTGTGCGGAGAACCTGAAGCAGAAGTCTTTGTGACTGACTTGTGGTGAGCGGCTGGGAGACGGGGCTTTTCCATCCTGTTTGAGGCTGTGCCGTAGCGGAAATGTAGGACCCTGAAGCTGACCTCCCCATTTCCAAAACACATCTAAAATGGTCTATTACTCTTTTGGATGAAGAGAGGCTTTTTTTGGCAACAGATAAGTGTATCTTCTTGGTGCCTTTCATATTTTCAACGCTTACTTAAAAAAAGAACTGATTTGGACTTTGGGATTTATATATTGAGCAAAGATTTGAAGGGCTGAATTATTGGGTGTTTTTATGAAACAAGTGAATTTGGTTTTCTGGACCTTAGAAAGTTAATGTTGTTGAATCTGTACTTGTGAGATGGAAGCTTGAGATTGCTGGTTAAAGATTTCTGGGGGAAAGCTGCTTTTCCTCACTTTCCTGAGATGCTTATTGGAGGAGCTTTGTAAACTAAAGCACTCTGAAACCTTGCTTTTTACCCAGGTTTCTTCTGTCTGCAAGGCCTGTTACGGCTGCAGTTTACCAAGGTCCATACGGTACCCACTCCAATGATGTTCCAGAAGGCCTTGACCTAGAAGGGGATCCAGCTTCAGAAGAGAGAACCAAACTCCCCAACCCTCTCTGAAGAACCTCACTTCTTCTTCCTCCAGGATGTCCATGATAGGAATGGAAGGTTGAGCAGAAAGGTACTGAGGAGAGCAACATATTGGCCATATGAAGTTAGCTCAAGCAGTTTGAGCTTAAAATTGACAGACTGCCCAAACGTGTGAAAGTGTATTCAGCTCAGGCCTTGGCTGCCTGGAGTCTTTGGTCCTGAAGTTATTGCCATTAACTTTATTGGAAGAAGTAGAGGAAATCCATTTTACTTAACTAACCTTTGAAATAACAAGCATATTCTTGTAAATTGGTGCTCCTTTTTTTTTTACAAGCTGTGGACGTAGTTTGTTTTTAGTTTAAAATCTGGTTAATGCAACATAAAGCATTACTCAGCATCTATTGGATACTACAGAGAAGAAGACCTTCCCCCGAGGGGGAGGCCCTGCTCACCATCGCTCGTGCCTTGGCCATCCTCGTGGGATGCACGTGGAGCTGCCCTTGAAAACGACGTGGAAGCTTCGGCGAGTCAGAACGCGGTGCTTGGGCTGTGTGTGGGTCAGCCGCGAAGCATCGCCGCTGTGAGAATGGGAATGGCTGCCGGTTTCTTTCCAGGTGCAGTTCAGTGGCCTTTTGGGTATCTTTGGGGCTGCCTGTTTTCAGGGATGATTGTCCCTCCACTCAGATCAGGAGAGAAGGTTTTCCCGAGGCCCTTCCCCGACTGACTAGCATCTGCAAGGCCCAGCAAGTCGGACCTTCTCAGTTGCTGGCCTCCACCTCTGGAATGGCATCGCCCCAGGGATGAGATTGGGCCACATAGTCTTAATTTTTTTGAAAAGCCACAGAGCCTCACCTTTACAATCTGCCTTGAGGACTTGACATAGTAGCTTTATTCTCTTTGCAGGATAATGTCTGGATGGGGGGTGTTCTCTCTGGCTGGGCAACGGGATAAGATATTTTTATGTATCTATCTTGTACGTCATTTCTTCACTGGGGTAATGATTTTGAATATTTGGGCAGACTATTTGAGTTGCCGATTAAATATATAAATAAATTTATTTTTTAAAATATTTTTTTAAAGAAATGATAAAGAGTTCTTTTTCATTTCATATTTGTTATGCATACTGCATAGTTCTTACTCTGTAAATTTAAGTCACACCACTTGGCAATATTTGAAGAATGTTGAACTACATATCTGTATTTTTTTAATAGGTTTTAATTTTTTTACAAACCGAATAAAGAAAAAAAAATGAAGGCAGTGACTCTTTCCTTATTTCCACCGCACGCTTCAGCTGGGTACCGAACCAGCCCATGTCCTGCCTTGGCGCAATACATCGAGCCATCAACCATCCAAGTGGGGTGATTCTCACGGCACTCTAAGCCCTAGAAAGGAAAAGCCCCCAAGCCGGGGTCAAGAATCTCAAACTGAGCAGGTTGGACGAATGCAGACGGGAGGTCTGAGTAACTGGCCAGGCCACCCAGCGGGTCGTTTGAACTGTGCCTTCGCACCACACCCGTGTCCCGGGAAGGGAAGAATTAGGTCAGAGGCACAAAGCGAGATGTGACTGATATTTGGGTGAGGGAGTTGGGGGATCGCCTTCTCGCGCTCCTTCAGAGGCCGGGGGGAGGGAAGGAGGGCGGCCCCGGTATCCCTGAAGGTTTGTGCGTTAAGTTGTGGCTTTTAAGTGAGGACTAACTGTGCAAGATAATGTTGAGATTCTAATCAAAAGTCTAAACAGTTCTCCTCCTAATGGCACTAGCAATTGTGCAAAACGTGGCTACCCTTTGGGATGTTTTAGAAAATACATCAGCCCATGGATAGACCAAGCTGTCTCAAAATGCAGTGCAACATGGGTCACGGGCACAATAGCTCCCAAAGGGCAAGGGCCTAGTCCAGCGGGTGGAGGAACTGCTGGATCTGGGGAGAATGATTAGTTTGTAAAGAGAGAGCAACCAGAGAGAGCAAGATGGAAACAGAAGCAGCTCTGTGTGTTTTCTGGCGTCTTGGAGAACTAACTGCTGCAAGTGCCCCCAGGGATGGGCAGTCTTTGGGCAGCTGAGGGCCACACTTAACATCTGGGGGGAACCAAGGACTACAAGTACTGTAGGCAGACTTAATGATGGAAAATGGGTGGGACAAACCTCCTACCCAAAGTTGTGTTAACAACGTGAAATAAAATTAAAGGGAGAAGAAACCAAAAAAGTCCAAAGAATACAATTAAATCTCAAATTATGCTCAACTCTAGTAATGTTGTGGACATGTCCAGATAATTTTCTTGGAACCATATCAAAATGATTTGCCACTGCTGCCTTCTGGGATTTTACTTTCCAGGATGAGCCTGGGATTTCCTGGTGGTCTCCTATCCAAGCACTCACCAGGTTACACCCTGCCTAGCTTTTCAAGATCAGCGAAGATGAGCTAGGTGCTGCTGCCTAGCTGGCCACTATAAATGTAAAAACTAAAAAATTCTGAGCTAACTGTTAAAAAGGCTCTTCCTTACCCTTTGTTGAAAAAGAGAGAGAGAGAGAAGTTGACAAAGGACATGTAATCATTCTATGTGGCAAATCAGGTGTAAATTTATCCTTCCAAAAGTATATAGCAATTCTTTTGACCATTCAAACTGTATTACAGTATCACTATTTCAGGGCTTGTACTGAGTCCCATGAGAAGACTAGAAGACTAATAGGAGGCTAGCGGTGGATGTGGAGTTGGGTCCCAGCTGCCTGCCTGCTGATCAGCTGTTCGGTGGTCAGGGTGGCACAGCAGCGCCCGAGGAAAAAAAGGTGTGCTTTTTTTGGCTCTCGGCGACTGCCCCCTGCCGTTTTCCTGGCAGCATTTTTTTAGAAGTGGCTTGGCAGATCCTTCTTCCCTGGGCTGAGAGAGAAATGACTGGCCCAAGATCACCCAGCTGGCTTTGTGGCTAAGGCAGGACTAGGACTCCCGATATGGTTTCCAGCTTCAAGCCTGAACCACCACACCAAACTGGCTCTCAGCAACGAAGAAGGGGGATGTTAAAAAAATGATTTGTTCCTGGCATCAAATATGCTAGGTACACCACTGATTGCACTACCTTTCTAGGGGCTCCTTGTTTTAAACTGGCTGGAAAATGTGCCATTAATTTTCAACAGTGCCAGAAAAACCTGAGGGGTGGGGGCTGGGATCAGTCAAAAGGGTCCTCTCTGGGAACGTCAGGAATTTTTATAAAATAAAATTTTTATAGTCTGATTTTAATTGAGTCATTAATTTTAACTATTTATATGGTATCATTTTTAGTGGTTCTTGGGTCTTTGGTTTTAAGTGTGAGCTGCCCAGAGTCACGCATTGGGGGAGATGGGCGGCATACAAATTCAATAAATAAATAAATAAATAAATAAATAAATAAATAAATAAATAAATAAATATCTGGGGAAAGAGGAAAAAGAGCAAGGAAGGGAAGAGACTGGTCTCAAGTTTAAAATATTGGAGGCATTGGCATTTGAATTGCTGCAGGATTTGGCCATTTTACAAGGCAAAAATCCAGGCTGAAAGGGTTTATCATCTTCAAACAAGTGACAGGATATTTGGGCAAAGGAGCCACTCAGGCAGCTACTCCCTTGCATATAGAATTACATACATTTGATATTTGTGATAGATGTGTCATGAAGCCAATCATCAAACAATAGAAGACATTGATCCTAGATAACATTCCACAAGTGGCAAATTTATGGGTTACAGCCCTTCCTTTCTCACTCAGATTTGTTTCTTTCTTAACACTTGCAAGTGTATTCAAGGACTTCAGAATACACTCCTATTGTTTCATTTCTGAAAAGGCTAGGGTTTTGGGGGGTTTTTCACTTCAAAGGAAATGGCCTTTGGCTGAAAGGAAAAAAACCCCCTGATTTCCTAAAGTTAGAAAAAAAGGCATAGACTGCCATGCTAAAAATGCTAATATCACCTTTAAAATGCTAATAATGAAGTCTAAAATTCCAGGTAGCACTATAAGCATAATACTGTCCTTGTGATCCTTTCTTATCTATGTTAGTGACTTTCTTGCTTCTGTGTAATGGCAAAGCGCCAACTTTCTTTCTAAAAGGGCATTAGTTTTGCTTTTTTTAATAACTACTTTCTAACAACAGCAAGGTCTAAGAGAACAACTTCCACCTATTCTCTGACAGCAGAGAGCAACAGATTAGCACCATCTCAGATTGATGAAATTAAAGAAAAAGGGAGGAAAAGTTCATTCTGAAAAGTGATCTTATGCCAATGTCAACTTTTGTTTCCTATAAGCGTCAAAGGCAACTCAAAGGAATGGGAGGTTATGTTGTCACTGCCTGGAGCTGAAGACCTATTCCCTGAATTTGGGAGAGAAAACCATCTTACCTTTGCAAAGGTGGCTTCTTCGCCTACCCAAAAATACGAACCACCCAGTAATTCAGGGAAAGCAAAAAGCATTTATTAAAGGGGTGTGTGTGTGTGTCAAGTCTTTGATAAGGTACAGAAACAAATGATACATACATTCAGTGACTTTTGTGCATTAATTTACCCCTAATGTTTGCATTTTTTCTTCTTATAAATATTGGTCAAGGTAGAGTAATAAGCCAATTGGAAAGATTAGGGCGATTATTGCAAGGCTGTAATTTGAAACCATCAAAGCGAATAGAAGATTTGGTGCCCAGCAGATACTACAACCACACCATTACAATCAGAATAATCAGCCTTTGTTTTATTTAAGAATATGTAAGTAATAGAACAATATGTTTGTTTTTGTGTACTTGTCTCCCTGTTGAATGGTTTGCTTGAATTCCACTTGAACCTTCCTACCTGGACACCAGGATGGTCTCTCTTTCGTCCAGCTGAGAAGTCAGGAGGAAGAATTCCTGGGGCTGTGATGGACTAGGGAGGTTTTGCTCTGTTGTTGCATTGCCAATGTTAAGGTGTCAGCGTTTTCTGTCTGTGGGCATTTGTCTGCGTGGATCTGTGTGTGTGTGTAAGGTGGAAAATCTGTTC